TCGACATTTCCGCCTCCATCGGAAATGCAGCCGCCGCAGCCGGGATTTGAACCCGCGACCTGCGGGTCAGCAGCCGAGTACCTTAGCCACTAGACCACCGCGACGGGGCCCAGTTAGTTATTTCATTTGTATCTAAAAAAAATACAGAAGACAGTACGCAAGGAGCCCATTCACGGAGCCTTAGTGGTACGAGGCCGGCCCGAATAGGCGGCGATTCGATGACGTTATCTAAGAAGCAGCGACAAGCATCACGTGCGTGGCATACGATTACAGCGAGATTGATATTCAATAAGAGAAGTTCTCCAGTTTGACCATAGCAAGACAAGCGTCGGTAGGAATGAACCAACTGTACGCTATAGTGTGGGTGAGCATTGACGCGTCGGCTGTAGTTTTAATTTTAATCATTATGACATTATCTCGCACTGTCAATGTGTGGATTACCGAGCTTACAAGCGGGTGCGACGCTTTCTATACTACACCTATGTGGTCAGCAAGTTTCAAGGCACATCAATTTTTAACGATGCTCGGATCATACACATCTGCACATGCTTGCGCAGACGCATACCCGTCAAGGACGCCGCAGTTATTACAGAACGCAAATAAGAATGAATATATTTATAGGTCCGAATGGCAAACATGGACCATATTTGCTAGAATGTATCATATACATGGATTCGAGTACTATACAAGCGACGCCAGCTTCGGCCACCCGCTTTGACAGGAGGTTATTTATGTTTATTTTTTTAGTGAAGATTAAGGTTTTCGTTGTCAATATTTTGTTGCAATATATTGCGTCTCACAGATACGACATGACATGTTTGAACTCTTCGCGGCACATAGAGCAAGCGCAGGAAGCGAGGAAGCCTTGACAAGAAGCAAATGAAAAGATGTCTTCGAAATATTAATCAACGTGCAGAAAAAAAAACGATACTGCATGGCCATTGCAAAAGCACGCTAAATTAGAAGCTTTAGTTTCTCCCACGAAATTGAGCAGACATAATAAATATATTAATAAATAACGCGCTTAGCATGAAACAATCACGTGGAAGCGAAATGGAATCAGAAAGAAAGGGTTGTGTGCTGCCCACGCCGTTAAAGGGGCCGTGACAAATAATATTCGATTACAATCTGCGTTATGCGAGTTAATCCTTGGGTGTTCACCGACAAGCTGGAAAAACGTGAGCGCATTTGGTCGTGGACTTAGTTTAGATTGCTTTCCGAAACACGCGAGAGGCCCGAAAATCTGACAACCCTGGCGCACACGTGAGTCGTGACGTAACAAGCTGCTTGCTTTGCGACCGTTTGTATTAACAACGATTTTTTTTTCGTGGTCACCTGCTCGCAAATTGGAGCTCTTTAAACTTTCTTGAGCTTGGAATTGAAAACTGAACGATTTGTGGCAGCTGAAGCTGGTGTAGAAGACGATGGCTCCACTTTTTGAAGTGCGTGACGTCACCCACGCCATGGCAAAATGACGGTTGCAGCTATTGGGCCGGGTTTACAGCCGGCGACTTCTAGACCTCATTTTGCAATACGATATTGCTTTACAGTCTTTTTTCATATATGTACGAGCACAATAGACGGCCTACTATATTTGGCTGAAAACCTCAAGTTGGTGGATCAATGTGCACGTCATGGCCCCTCGGAGTTGCGATAAATGAACCCTGCCATTGTGAGGAATGTATGATTTGTTACGCAAAAAAAAAAAAAAAAAATCACTCGTCAATGCAGGAGAGGAAGCACATGAACGCACACGTTGCAACGCGACACAGGAGATACAGGGTACAAAAGTGGCGTGTTTGCTCGCCACGTAACATAACGTGCTTTCCTCGCGTACGCTCGGTCAAATGTCCGCAGATGCGCGGGCGGTCGATTCGGTGACGCTGCAGTGACGTCACAAAAATGGCCCTCGCGTCACTAGACCCACTTCGATTTTCAACTGTTTAAGGATAAAAGAGTTGACTATTGGGCAAGCTGGCGTTTTGACATGGAAACCGTCGTGAGAGCGCAACTAAACAGGGCACACGAGAACACACGAGGCGGATCGAGGGCGCCTGTTCTCGTCTTTTTCTTCTCGTGTGTCCTGTTTTGTTGCGCTCTCACGATGGTTCCCGTGTTTAGGAATAGTTGAGTACTGATTACATACGAGCACCGACATACTTGAGCCAGCATATGTCGCATTCAATGAAACTTGAGGCATTCGCCCAAGCTTATCCCGGCATCTACGTACAACGCATACAAAAACTTTCGAAGCATGGATTCTGGAGAAGCAGAACACCGTGCATCGAGTCGATGATATATGGTGTTTACTGGCGCAAGGGCCATGACCAAACAGGGCCAGTATAACCGTGCATCGAGCCAATTCACTATTTGTCATCAATGTGGAAAATTTCATTTTAACGTCAATATATAAATATTGTTTCCATTAATCCATTACTAACAGCAGCTTTTCTAACTGATAATACCCAGTCAATCAAATCAACTGATACTCGCATGATCAACATTATCCTATAGCTGGAGACTCGTCAAACTGAGCACCCGAGTGCTGTCGATACAGATTTAAGCTTGTTCGTTTTGCTTGTTTTGATTACGGCTCCAAGTATCACTCGCGAACGGTTGCAGCGAGGCTCACCAGCTGTTAACACGACATCTTTATCTGCCGCGGATTACGGAGTGCCTGCGCATCAAGTCTTCACGCAAGTATGATAATATTCGGTCGATCGCCTGCCCTACTGCGGTAAAATTTGCTTCGCGGTCGCGGAAAGAAAAACGTTTACCTGCTGAGATCGCAAGTCAGCGATTGATTCCATACATCGACAGTGCCGCCGAACGGCAAGCACGCCCTGAGCTCTTTCATCTTGAAACGAGTGTTTGTACTTGTGATCATATAAAATATCCCAGTTTGGCATAAGCGGGCTCGATATTACCTTCAGCTAAATTACGCACTACGTAGATAGGCAAGGTTATGCGAGCGTTTAACGTCTTACTCGACAAACAGGGAAGCGCATAGCGAAAGACAGCGATAAACAAAGAGGGTAAATACATAACACTGGTTACATGCGTTGCTTTGCGGCACAAATACAAATACAATGCACACGAACAGCCTGGTTAGCACTGACTGGTTAAAAATAAGCAGAGGCTTTTACTTATTTCTGTCCGGAAATTTTAAACAGCTGCCAGAATAACTTTTTCAATAATAATTTTTCTTCTCTTCTTCCTTCTCGTGTTTCTATCCTCCTTTCCTAATGTCCCTTTCTTTTACCCTACTTTCTTTTCTTCATTCTCACCGTCCCTTCATTCCCCGTTCCCACGTGAGTGTATCGGTTGAGGTGTCCTCACATGAGAGACAGTTATCGTGCACTACACACTCCAGTTTCTTTCCTTTCCGCCTTTTTTCTTCTTTTTTCTAAAGAATTACCCTCGCCCCCCTAATGTCCCAGTGTAAGGTAGCCAAACGGAAGTTTTCCTGGTTAACTTCCCTGTCTTCTATTTTTCTGTTTACTTCATCCATAATGAATAAAGCATTTATCCCAGAATTATACGCGCCAGTTTTGCGCTGCCATAAGAGCATAGTAGGAATTCCTACACAGAGATGCATGCGGTGTCGCATATACGGATTGCCGCAGCACCCAAGGCAATGCTCGCTGTTGACCGTGAAACATGCTCGAGGAAGATAGGAATGTCGTATACAGCACCACGTGAAGTGTGGAGGTATGTGCACGGTTCCGTAAGCAGTCGCCGTAACGATATAGCGTCAGTGTTCTCACGGCCGTGTTATATTTTGTCCTTGCTTATCGTGGAAGACAAAACACAGTGGAAACCACGGTACAGCTGTGATTCGAGGTTACAGCACTGCGCAAGCCCAGGCTATTGGGTTGGGTGGCACGGGCTTGACGCTATTTGCAAGTGATTCTATATATTGGGCCTCAAGAACACAGGGTAGCTCTCTACAGAAACGAAATTTATGCACGGGTACTCATGGGCTCTTGGGGGTTTTTGGTTTGGCACCGCATTTCCGACGTTCAATATTTTCGTTCTCAAGTCAGGACACGTTCGTTTGAACTTTAAGTTGCCTTAGCACCCGATATATTCTAAGCTCCCGTAAGAACTCTTTACAAACGTCATACTATTGCGCCAACTTTTAGGGCACTTGAGGCGCACCACCATCGCCATGGTGTCGGTGTGCTGAGCACACACGTGACATGCGTGTAGCATTAGAAAGTTAGGCGAAATGCGCTGAGCTGCGAAAACATCGGACCCAGGTGACACCTGTACCACCACACCATCACACAGACTTCCAAGACCGTGCTAGCTGGAGTCAATGAAGTTTCGCGTTGTGTAACAAAAGCTATCTTCTTCACTTACCACTCCATCAATTATGTCGGCGTCCGCGCAGTGTTTTGCATTCTGTACTGCTGGCACAAAAGTCACGACAGCATGACAGCGTTTCCATTGAGCGGTTTTTCAACTTACTGTAGACTGCAAACAGTTGTTTACGTGAGAATGACAATAAGCGTCATGGTAAACTTGGTGCTGACAGTCGTTTACAGCTATAGCGCCGCTGATGGTGGTGTCCATCGCACCATTGCCACTCGCCCTCTGCATCTTCTAGCGCTTTGTTCTTGCTGTGCAGCAGCATGTCTCGCTTGGCGCCTCGTTCCATGCATGCCGCCTCCGCGTGTGGTAGGGCTAGAGCACGAAGTCAGAGGCTTCACCTCCGGACCAAACTATACACATGTTTGCTAAAGCTTCCCAAGTTATCATATTACAAAATGCGCATTTATAACCTAAAGTAAGACACCTTTCCAGATAATTTTATTCTATAGCTTTTGTGTGTGTCGGCACTTTCGTGTTGACCTTACACGAGCTCAGACGGTAAAACAAAACAAAAAGTAATGATAATCCCGATGTGATGTCCCTTCGCGAAGTTTTTTGAACGGATTCGCTGTCCCACTATGTATCTAGGTAATGATATCATGTCCAACTAGCTTCCTTTGTGGTCAAGCGCCAGCACCCTTCGTAAAGCTGCAGTGCATGCAGTGCGTTATCAGTGGTCGAGAAATCGTCGATATCCGAGGTTGCTCGTTCACCGATAACCGTATAGAGTAATAATGTTATCCTTCAAGCTGTACCTCTGCATGCCATATGCCGTTTGTTCACCGTGTCAGAGACGGACACGCGCGTATCCGGGAACGTGATTTCTTATACTTTCGTCGCAACTGCGCACCTGTCAAACACTTGACTGGACGATCTTCCCAAATAAATTGACGCCTCACAACTGCTTGTCCGTCAATACTCTCCGCTAACGTGTAACAGGGCAGCCTATACGCTGTGTTGTTCACAAAACTCTCGCACGCAGCCGGAAACGCTCAACGAGTTGGTCACAACAACGGCGGTTTGGTGGCCGGAGGGAGCGTCGTCCTGGTGACGAGGTACTTTCTCTTAACGTCCCGCTTGAAGCCCGCCAGCTTCCGCTGGTTGAGCGTGTTCTGCCGTTCGCGCCAGTAGCCCCTGGCTCGGTGGTTCTGCATGCCCCGGTGCAGGGCGAACGCCTCGTCCAGCACCCAGAACTCGAAGCCAGCCGCGTGCGTCTCGTACACCTGCAGGTTGCCAAGCAACGGGTAAGACCAGTCGAAGACGCTGTCGGCGCAGTGTCGTGACACGCTGATAGGAAAGAACAGTAATAAGAGACACGAAATATATTGTAGTAAGACGGTTAGTTGGGCCAGTTCGTTAGGATCCATTGTCAACTTACTTACAGCGCAACACCAGTGCTCCTTCCCTGTCCTGTATTTTTTCTGGTGTTGCGCTATAAGTAAGTTCACGATGGATATAGAGACACGTGCTGACAGAGAGCTCCCACTCTTGTCAGGGCGTAGTTTTGTGTTATACAGACCCTGACGACTTGCCGCTTGCCCGGTAAACGCGCCCAAGTGCTTGTGCGCCCAGCGTTATATGCTACTATAACCGGCGCTACTATAACCGAGGCACGGCCGCTGGATAGACAGCGCATCCAGCGGCCGCGCCCGAGACAAGGACGACGAAAAGGACAAATAAGACGAACAGCGCCTCGTTCGTCCTTCTTGCCGTCTCCGCGTCGTGCTGTGGTTTGTCGTGTATCTCGAACTCGATCAAGTTTTCACGTGGATAGGTTACGTAAATTAATTTTGATTTGATTGATACGTGGGATTTAACGTCCCAAAACCACCATATGATTATGAAGCACACGGGCCTACAACATGAAAATTTTTCACGCCATGCTAGCCGGCAGGGTTAGTAAACACACACACACACACACACACACACACACACACACACACACACACGCACACACACACACACACACACACGCACACGCGCATATATATATATATATATATATATATATATATATATATATATATATATATATATATATATATATGCGCGTGTGCGTGTGTGTGTGTGTGTGTGTGTGCGTGTGTGTGTGTGTGTGTGTGTGTGTGTGTGTGTGTGTGCGCGCTTTCCCTTCGCTACGTACGACTGTGTATTCGTATCCTATACAGGAGGTGTGTATGGCCATGCTGATCTTGAGCGCCCACTTTGTGCCTACGCCCTTAAATATAGCCCGTTTGATTCACGCTACAATGACCTGTGATTGGGCGGCGCTGCTGTGCGCTGTACGAGTGGCTGTACACATTATATTATATCTGAACAACAGTAACGTCGATTTAGGCCGCACAGTGAAAAACCACCGCAACAATGCAGAAAGGTTGCCGCCATTAACCCGACGGAGGCACTCCATTTAAGGCAATCTACAGCAGCACATGTATGCGTGCAACGCCAACGCTATCGTGAAATGATAATGGCTGCTAACAAGTGGCTCGATTCGATGCTTCAGAGCGGTCACAAAGCAGCTGCAGCCGGCTGGGAGCCTATTTATACGAAACTGGGCATATCGACTCGCACCCCTTATAGCTTCCCATTGTTTACAAACCACACGAAGGCATAGCAATCGTGATGTATATTGCAGTCATCTAAAGTGTGAGTGTTCTTTTATTTCTTCTTTTGCTTTTTTTTACTTTATTTTTTTTAAACAGATTAAATGATCGCACACGCAATGCATCTGTTTCTGCTCAACAATAATTTAGCATATGTACTTAAGTAGTTCTGCTACACCACAATAATCGTCATCTGACTTGCTCGCGTTTCCTTTCTTGAAAACCCAGCGCTGTCCACATTCCTGTCAAGAATGCCATGTCACACTGATGACGCGCGTGCCATTCGTGACAGCGAACTACCGGAACCATGCGTGGTGATAGGAGGAGCAAAGTACTCGAAGCAGATGACAGTGGCAGAAACACTCCCCAAATACTAAATTTTTTAGAGTGTAAATGAAGTGTCCCCTCGACAGATTCTATCAAATAAATAAATTAATTAATTAAATAAATAAGTAAGTAAATAAATAAATGCTGTATACAGCGTGTTTCAAAAATTGTATTCGATATGTTTTTTTTTTAATCGCAGAAAGGGGGTATCTGCGTGCTACTTGTGGCTTTGCCTTTCCTGTGGCAGGAGCCATCTTTAGATTTACACAAACACTAGTTGTGGCAGTAATTTAAATATTAACACAATTGACTTTTTAACCAGTGGTGATAGCCGGTCGAGTCAAATGGGCGAATTCAAGCCCTTCTTACGAATAGTCCATAGCCACTTTGAACTTTTGGAAAAGCGGCCGCTGGTAATCACCGCGGAGCGATGCAATCTGGCCAATTTAGCTGGCGAAACCGAAACCGACACACCAAACAGCGCATCTACCATTCATTTCGACAACGTCCTCAGTGACGACACTAAACCACTTCGCTTTGAGGCCGCTTACCGACGCTCGCTTAGGGCCAAACCTCATAAGCACGAAAATGCACGCGACAGCGACGAGCGACGCGACGTAGATCGGCGTCGCGCGATCAGTCGCTAGCGCAGGCAAACCTCATTCACGCGACGGCTTCGGCGAGCGAATTCCACTGTTGCTGGCATGAGGCCGTCTACTCGCACCAAAAAACCGCGTAGCGAGCGGTATGCAATTTGAAAATAAGATATATTGTCGTGTAATGAAACGGAAAGTGTTTATTATTGCCTTGCAGCACTTTTTTATATGCACATGCGTAATAAACAGTGCGTTATTTCTTGTTGCGCATCCGTGACTCGGGCAGGGTCACGTGCACCTATGTAGTCTTCGTCTTTTCCGGTATTTCGCTATTGGCTGCTTGAGCCCAGCACTTCCGGGCGATGAGCGACGGTTTCCAAATCGGGAGAACCGAGCGATCGCGCGAAAACGAGCACGCGACCCGTCGCGCGAACGCCCTGTTTCGTCGCTCATAGCGTCGCTCGTCGCTGTCGCGTGCATTTTCGCGCTTATGAGGTTTGTCCCTTATTCTTCTCCCCCGCCGCATCACAGCTCGCACCCCTCTCCCACCTGTCTCCCTCTTTCTTCGTCTCTGTTCTCTCCCTTCAAACCGGCGAACGCGCGAAACTATCGTTTCGTCCAGTCTTCCTCAACCTCGTAGCTACTCGAGTTTCCACACCATCCAGTGGTTGTTCTGCTGCCTGGGCCAGCTCGAGCTGCGCTGCGCGCGCCGACTACCGTAGATGGCGCTTAACTACAATTGGCTTTAAACCGACGAGACGCCCGCATATGTAGCGTTTATAAAATTAGATGGGTAGCACTGCGACCACACTTGTTGCAGTTTCACCAAAATTACGCCTGCGTGTTCTTTTCCAAAGGAGTTCCGAGACCTGGTGTGACTTTGTGGTAGAGTACTTGATTGCCACGCAGAATACTTAGGTTCGATTCGTGCTGGGACCATTACATACATTCTTTGCATTCGTCGGGTCAATGTTGGCGATGTCCGAATTCTCTCGATTTAAATTGCCAATGTTTGTTCTCGCCGTTGTTCGGTAAGGATATGAACTGTCCAACACGTGTAATCACATACCGCGGCCCATAGTATACAGGTATGTGCCACAAGTGTTTGGAGGAAAGGGTTTAATATCATACGCGAAGGGATTTCCACATTATTCATGCCACAGCCAGAGAGTAATAATAGTCAAATCATCTTACTCTCGCATACAAACTTCGGTATACCCAAGTGAAGGAGGTGATCACGAAAGCACCCAAACGTTTATGCGGGTAGACAGACAGACAGACAGGCAGACAGACAGACAGACAGACAGACAGACAGACGGACGGACGGACGGACGGACAGACAGACAGACAGACAGACAGACAGACAGACAGACAGACAGACAGACAGGCGGACGGACAGACAGACAGACAGACGCAAATTGTCTGCGGTATGCAAGAAATGCTTCGCATTTAAAATTAACAAAAACATAAGCGCACTACATACCTTTTAACGTTCTAAGACAACGTTAAGCGACAGATGCTGAGAACGACAGATGAGACACGTACAGGTTCCTTTCTGGCGCATTGAAAAGGCCTCGAAAATTTGCGTGGTAATGTGATCTTTGTGCTTTCCCAACAAGCATGCGCCATCTGGGAGACGATGAAAAGCCACAACATGTACATGAACATCCAGATTACAACTGTAGCGCTTTTGTTTAGACAGCAGATGCAGTGTACGTGCCACCACAAGATACTGTTATACTGTGATAAACAGCACTTCATCAGACTCCAGGTCTTGCGTTGCCATGATACTTACACGTGTATTCACGGTGCAAACGCGCTTCCTTGTAGATGTATACTGTCATTGTGACTGATGACAAAATCCCATTTTTTACGATAGAAAAAAAAATATTACGTATACAACAGAAGAGACGGGCGCTACATATGAGCACTTCCATATTGTCAAAAACACTTATCTAAACATAATTCCAACGAATCGCTTGTTCGATCGGATTCCTAATAGCGACTTTAAATCCCATGATTACATTAGCAAGTCAAGATCAGAGCATGAAAAAAATGCATCAAGCTCATCACTGTGTGCACACTGACCTGCGTGTTCCGCGTGAAGCCGTATCCGACGAACCTCTCGTCGTATCGGGGCACGTCCTTGCCAGCCACGTAGAATGGCTCGTAAAAGAACTCGTAGCGCTGCACCCTGTAAGCGGCATGCAGGCCGTCCTCGGAGTGCGGCAGGGCCTCCCAGGCGGCATGGTTGGTCGCGTACTGGTTGAAGACGAATGACTTCTCGTGGAAGGGGCGGGCTTCCCTGCGATGCACCATTGCGAGCAGCTCGCGCTTGGTCCTCGGCACGGCCACCATTTCGCGCGCCTCGTACGTGGGCACCACAAACACGCACTTTGCGCACGGCAGCCGCCGGCCACTGTTGGCCGAGGCCAAGAAATCGGACAGCTCGTCCCACAGGCCCGGCTTGGGCATCACGTCGATGTCGACGACGAAGAAGTACTTCTGCGGCGAGCAGCCGTCCCGGGCCACGTTGCGCAAGTGGTTCTGCGGGTAGAGCATCTGCTTGACGCTGCCGCGGATCACGCGGGCACCTCCCGAAGCGTGCAGCGTGCGCAGCAACGACGCGTGGCTGGAGCACGAGAATTCAGGGCCACCGCCGCCGCGGGTCGACCAGGGGACGGCGCGCGTCACGTTGACGCCGACCGGGAAGACGAGGTCCACGCGCACGTTGGCTCGCACGGGCTCCGAGCAGGAGCGCAGCAGGGCGAGGTAGGCGCGTAGCGCCTGGAACTGCGCCGCGCTCGCAACGAACACGGCCAGCGACAAAGGTCCATTCCACAGCTGGGCCAGTTCGACGAGCGTGTGGAGGCGATCGAGCGAGCTCTGCGTGGCGAGGCACACTTCGCCAGCGTCCGGCGAGCCGAAATCCGCATCGGGAGAGAGGAAAGAGCGTGCTATTTTGTACTTTCTGCTGGCGTCGAGTTCGATCGCGTCTTCGTCGAACTTGAAGGGGGTGCGCTGCACGAGCAGGTCCAGTATGTGGACACCACGCGCGCCTCCGGCAGGCGTCACCTCCTCGTCCACGGGGACAGCGGAGTTAACGCGACGTTGCTGTGGAGACGACGGAGGAGAAGACCCGGGAACCGGGGAAGGGTTGATCCGGTTGATCACCAGCAGGCCGATCAGTTCCCCCAGGGCGAGGGCACCGACTACAATCAAGGCTAGCGGGCCTCGTCCAAGGCATCGGTTTCCAGGAAGACATGCTCTTCGCATCACCGGCTACGTGGTCACCTGTGTGGACAAATTCGTACCATCATGTTAAGTTGTGAACGCACACATCTTGAACAACAGCGCGTGAGCGTCGATTTCACGACATTGTATCGATAACAGCACGCCCACGAAAATCTCCTTCGTTCTAGCATTTTGTGCTACAATATTCGAACCAGAATTTACCTAAGCCGACCTGTTTGCGAGGCTAGCCCGCAGTGAGCTTCTGTCGTTTCTTTTTTCTTCATATTGCTACGATACTGAGGGGGCGCGTGGAAGAAGAGGAGAACGAGGTTGGCACGAGCGGTGATCGGCCAGATCCCTGGACTTTCGCATTCATCATCTCCTGTAAATAAAGGCATCTCACCGTAACAAGATTGGTGGAGGTGTGGGGTACAGCGAAGCGATCCCAGGCGAACGACCACGGAAGCGCTACCTCAAGAACTACGCCGAAACCACCGACTGGCTGGTCTACCACCGCTCTCTATGGATACGATTGCTGACAGCGACACCACGCCCTCTTCGTCTGGCGCTACGTGGCCCCGACACATAGTACCACGAAGCTTCTCTGGGAGGGTCGGAGAAGACGTCGACGAAGAGCTGAAACACTTCAACCGTGCGAGTAAATACAATTGTTGGGATGCGGCCTCCCGGTTGTCCAACGTCGGATCGTTTCTTCAAGGGACGGCGTTGGTGTGGTTTGAAAACAACGAAGAAACAATAACGACATGGGAAGCGTGTGAGAGAGAAATAGCGAGCTGCTTCGGGGACCCATTGATGAAGAAGAAGCGCGCTGAGCAAACTTTGATGCAGTGTGCTCAAGTCCTCGGTGAAACATGCACAACGTACATTGAAGAGATTCTGAAATTGTGCAAGTCTGTAGGCCCATTCATGAAAGAAGATGACAAGGTAGGGCATCTCCTTAAAGGGGTTACTGAGGATGTCTACAATTTCCTCATCGGCAAGGACACCTTGGTGTCTGTAGCGGACGTAATACAACACTGCCGCACGTTTGAGACCCTGAAGGCTAGGCGCGTCACTCCCAAATTTGGTAGACTTGCCCACGTCACCACCGTTGCAAGTGTCGACGTCCCTCCAACATCCTCCTATGATCTTGTCATCGGCAAGGACACCTTGGCGTCTGTAGCAGACGTAATATAACACTGCCGCACATTTGAGACCCCGAAGGCTAGGCACATCACTCCCAAATTTGGTAGACTTGCCAACGTCACCACCGTTGAAAGTGTCGACGTCCCTCCAACATCCTCTTGTGATCTTGCCTCAATGATCAGGCAAATCGTTCGCGAAGAACTTGGACGACGTGATGCTGTCAACCCGCCGAGAGCACCTGCTATCAACACCTCCCCGCCATACGACGCAATGTGTGCTGACGTTGATGCCACGCTACATGATGTGCCCCAATAAAGAGCACCAGAGCCCCCAACGACAACTTACATCATCGCCATGGTTTCCGGAACGCCTCCCGCCAACCACCTACAATGGTGTCTTCGTGGGACGATCATGGGCACATGGCGCCTCGTGGAAGGTTTGGCGACGTGCGTGAGGCCCCTGTGTGCTACAACTACGGTTTCCGTGGACATGTGGCTCGATTCTGTGGTCAAAGGCGTCGCCCCCAGCAGCGATACTACGAGGGATCATCAGCTTCTTCTCGACAAAACCACTGGCGCGGTGGTATGCATTCAATGCGGGACGCGTACGTTGGGGACGGCTTCCAGCAAACGACCCACAGTGATACACATGTAGGACGCAATTTCCACCAGAACTTACGCAACGACTCGCCTTCCTCCGTGCGAAGCTTGACGCCCCCCACAACACGCTGGTTCCTTTCCCCATCTCCTGGTCGACGCGTCACCTCCCCGCCTCCGGGAAACTAGGTGGTGCTGCCAATGGAGGTGAGGTCGCCGAACATTTGTCACTACATCCGCCTATGTCTCCACCCGTTTTTTTCCGCATCCGTTTATGCCTCCACCCGGCGTATGCCCTCGCCTACTTCTAGTTGTGCCTACAAGTCTACGACAACACGTACTTCGAGCAATGCACGACGACCCAACATCTGGCCATATGGGTTTTTCTAACACATTTTATCGCACGCAAGAACGCTTCTTCTGGCCGAAGATGCGTAAAAGTGTGACTGCATACGTTGCGAGCTGTGAGCAATGTCAACGCCACAAGCGTCCTACAACTCCGCCAGCCGAACTAATTCATCCCATAGCACCCCCGAGTTTACCATTTGACGTCGTAGGTGTCGACCTGCTCAGCCCTTTTCAGCGATCTACGAACGGCAACCGATGGATTATTGTGGGCGTTGACCACCTCACACGTTACGCAGAAACTGCGGCAATTACTGCGGCAACGGCCACTCAAGTTTCACAGTTCATGCTGTCACACGTTATATTACGCCATGGATCCCCCCGTGTCATCATCAGTGATCGCGGGCGGCAATTTGTTGCCGATGTAGTTGAAGACCTCCTTCGTCTTGCTTCGTGCCATTTTCGTCACACTACCCCGTATCATCCGCAGGCTAATGGTTTGACGGAACGAACTAATAGGACTCTCGTCAACATGATTTCCATGTATGTTGATTCTGGACACAAAACATGGGACGCGATTTCGCCATTTATAACTTTCGCCTACAACACAGCCCAGCACGAAACAAAGAGATACAGTCCATTTTATCTGCTCTACGCATGCCAACCCCGCACAGCTCTTGACACTATCCTTCCTTTTTCCGAGAGTGATCAACCTACTCTCGCTGAAACCATTTGCCGCGCAGAAGAGGCCCGGCGCATCACCTGTCTTCGAACTTTCGTCTCACAGAAACGCTCCAAGAACCGTTACGACAGAAGTCACCGGCTCGTATTGTTTGAGAAAGGGGATTTGGTGTGGTTTTGGATGCCGCTTCGCAAGCGTGGCCTCTGCCAAAAGTTTCTGGCCAACTACACCGGTCCGTTTGCTGTCCTGGAACGTCTCGGCGATGTCACGTACGTGATATCTCAGCTGTTGTCAACAGGCCGCCGCTCAAGCAAGACCAACGTCGTTCATGTTGCCCGTCTAAAACGCTATCATCATCGCAACGAAGCCTAACTCGCCCGGTGGGCATCGTCTGCAAAGGGGGAATTGCTACGATACTAGGGGGCCGCGTGGAAGAAGAGGAGAACGAGGTTGGCACGAGCGGTGATCGGCCAGATCCCTGGACTCTCGCATTCATCATCTCCTGTAAATAAAGGCATTTCACCATAACAATATTTTTGATACTCACGCATGTTATGGGGAATATAGGTCATTTGTAATACTTTCGGTGGTTCTGACATCACGATTGAATGTCGACATCCACGTGATTGGCTATAAAGCAATTACACACTCTGTCGTCGCCTCAGAAACAGTGGGAAGTGGAATGAATGCTTTCCGCCATGGTGGAGCAGTGTATAAGGGCTCAGCTGCTTATTTGAAGGTTGCGGGTTCGACGCCAGCCACGGTGGTCGCATTTCGACGGAGGTGAAACGGCAGAGGCCTGTGTGCTGTGCGATGAAAGTGGTCAACATTTCCGGAGCTCTCCCCTACGGCGTCTCTCGTAAGCATATCGTGGTTCTGGGACGTAAAATACCTATACATTATTATTTAATGGAGGCGATTTGACTACATGGCTTAGATAACCGAAAGGCATGATGTAAAAGGCGTGTATGCAGCCCATCTTCAACATTGGCAGTGACTCTGCAGCACCGTACTCCAGATTTTCGTCGTTACACCGAAAGTCCATCAAGATATATATTCAAGTGGTCAATTGGTACATCTTTACAGCTAGATATACGGTGGTAAAACATAAGCACAAGATGACGAGATGGGTATGAAACTAGCAAAGGATAATTTTTTAAGGGCGAAGCTTCCTAAGGCGTGGGCTGAGCGTTCGGTCGTAATCGTATGTAGCCACCTCTTGTTAGTTCTTGAAGCGGCCGTGGAGGGCGGTACTTGCAAATTCGTATACGCTGAAAATTGCAAATGGTAGGATACTACAGGACGTTACTTGTAGTACGATATATAATAAAAGTCACAGCATGACCATGGAGTGAATGATGCTGAGTGGGACGAAGCGTCCATCAGTCCGTCCGGGCTTCCGTTCGTCCATTCGTTCTTGCTCCCCTCCATTCGTGCGTCCGTCCGCCCATGCGTTCATCCGTCCATTTATGCGTCCGTCCATTCATACATCCGTCCATGCATCCGTTCATCCGTCCTTGCGTTTGTCCATGCGTCCATGCGTCCATCCGTCCATCCATCCGTGCGTTTGTCCATTCGTGCATCCGTCTATGCGTCCGTCCCTGCGTTCATCCATCCGCTTCGCTCCGCTCGTCATCATTCACCTCGTGGATATGGTGTATTTTTTGTGTAGAAAACGGTAATAAAAACACTGACGCTATCTTCATGGCGCATGTGCGCATGAACTATATCACCAGAATATTACTGCTACTGCATATATATATATATATAATTGTATATAACTGTATATATATATATATATATATATATATATATATATATATATATATATATATATATATATATATATATATATATATATATATATATATATATTATGAAGTCTTGGTTTGGAAGACCTTTATTGGGCCCGAAGAACCGGCAGCCGACAGCTGAGATGAACGGACCAAGCTGATGATGCTACGTGACAACGATGAGGATGCATGAGCAACACATGATAATGATGATAATGTACAGATGAAGAGGATTGGTATACTAAATGCCCACACTAATTCCCCCCACGTGAAAGCGGCCAGCCTGGCCGCGGCAAGTCAAGGGGACAAAGAACGTCGCATGAAGGGCTTCATACGGGAGACATGGACGACCTCAGTAGTTCGATAACGGCGATCAGCTGGGGCTACAAGTGGCGTCACGCGATGATTCACTGGTGAAGTTTCTTCAAGAACTGTGTACGGCCCGATAAACCGTGGCTAGAATTTGTCGCACAAACCAGGTG